TGTTTCAAATCCCAGGGGCCACTACATCAGTGAGAACCATTGGGGAATATGTTTTGGAGAAAATCGGCTGAACGGTTTATACACTAGCGTTGTGCACAGACCGACTGCCAAAGATACGTCAATCAATCGATTTTTCGGTATGAGGAACTCACAAAACATGGATTCCGGCTACATCACGTGTTAGAGTTGTTTTCTAATTGTAGAAACTGGATTTACCCACTTTTTCCTTACCAGGGCCAGACAATTAGTGTTTTCGAAAACTCGCAGTTTTCCAGCACACGATAACAATACTTTCACTTCTTTCGTTACTAAGTGCGAGAAAGTGAAAACAAAGGAAGTGTTTTTAGAAACAAATTAAAATAGCCTTTGGTCCCTATGGTAAGCATCCCAAAAATTAAGATATCCTGATCCAATTTACAATTCCTTAAGTTTGGTCAGATTGATCGGAGAGTATGAATTTAAAAATAACTTAATGATTTAAGTGATGTTTACCGACCGACGTACGTAGGGAAAGACATTTTTAGGAAATATTTTGTCTTTTTCTGTCAAAATCTCGACATTGAATTTTTGCTGCATTACATAACGTGTCTCCTACATATTTACCTAATATTTCAGTATACGGGAAATACCTACTTATACTACAATAGCACTTGACTACTAGTACATTTTGGAAACGGTTACGAAATATTATATTGCATCTCAAAATTCAGAAGGCCTAGAATCAGCAAAAGCGATAGAAGGTCAGTTTCATTGAAAATTTAATGAACACTCTTGGTGCCACCGTTACTCACAGACGGACATACAGACTTCAGAAAAAACCTTTCCGGTGTGAGGTATTCCCGAAAGGTGTACATCCGTCAAAATCTATACCTAGAGTTTCCTCAACAATACTTAACTTTATACTAATGTAAGACTGAATAGAACGTGCGTGGTACAAGTTCACTGTTTCAGATTCGCGTGGTGCCTTGCCTAACCGAATCACCGGACGCTATACAAATCTAAAGTAATCACATGTGTCAAGAATGATCCCGTCATTGTCTCGTAGTGGAATATCGTAATATAGCAGAGACAAAAAGCAAGGTTTTGTGCAAAACTAGCGAAACCCGGCAGATGTTCTTACCTTCATCTCACCCCTCTCTCTGCCCCTCAGCTCCAGTAAAAATGTGATAGAATGCTCAAATCTCATCCTATAGATAACGGTACGAGGAATATTCCCTTGAAATCTTTGGCCTTATTATTTTAGTTTTAATGTCTGGGAACGCTTCGTTATTTATTTATTTAAAGATAGACTTTTAAAACAATCCTGGCGAATGTGTTGAGAATTGCATTTGACATGAATTGTTAGTTTTGTTATACAGCGCCATCTAGTACTTTATTCCGATATTTTTTATATTTCTTTATTGTCTTATTTGAGTTGGAGATGAGTTCAACAAATAAGGTGTAATTAAAATTGGTCCAGCCGTTCTTGAGTTATGAGTGCTTTAACTAATAACCCTACTTGTTGTTTTTTTTGTATACAGATATTTATTCGATAATTTTGTAACAATTTTAAAATCGAAATATTAATATCATACTATCGATATGATAAAACTGTTCACTGTTTTTCTGCCGTTTCGCCGGTTGTTTTTAATACTTATTCTGGCGAGACGAAGGGCTGCTTGAGAGGGTCCTTAGGGACCGGTCACCGCACGGCGGGAAAGGGTCTTCTCGGAAGTGGCAAAGGGCGGGGGGATCGTCACCGTGGGCGCCAGAGAGTGCGAATAAATATTTGCCCTCTCGCCGACGCGTCACCTGAAGGAAGATCTTGACCAGATCGCTGAAACACGTCGCTTTCGAAATACGCACGGCAATGTGTGCTGTAGCCCAGATCGCTAGAACGGAGAGGGGTCGAAGAGTTAGCTTGTTCAAAGCTTGCCTCGCCCCTTTTTACTTATTTACTGTCACTTTTCAACGACTAAGGTCGTAGAAAGACCACTGTAAGTAACATTGGGGGTGACGGTATACGGACTCTCACAAACACCCATGCCCCAGGCGGGATTCGAACCTCAGCTATCCAGGCCGGAAATTAATGTTTACTTTGTGTGTTGCGGTAAACGTCTAAACTCTGTTTTTGCTCTCAGGAGCGAGTTCGAAAGAAGTCTTACCCCTCACTCCGCCTGACATTCTGTCCGCTCCTTAGCATCCGTAACTAGCGCCTTGCAAGGGACATTGCCTCATTTCCGCTCAATCTCCTCGCCCTTCTGGAATCCTACATTTTGATAATCCACCGAGATAGCCATGGTCCTTAGTAGTCATCGCCTCTGTGATTTTTGGATCCTTAGCGAAATTAAAGCTAATGGTAGGACAGAACAGGGAATGATTAATGGAACATATATGTTCGTTCTAGCAGAGAAATCGGAAATACTCCAAGAAAGCATGCGGTAAACCCGCATTGTCCACTAGAAATTATATTCCTAAGCGCCCGGGATCGATCCCGGGCACCAAGGGAGGAAGGTAGTGTGACCACTTCCCCACGAGCTGCCCACTGTGTATCGTGGGCTGCTTTTTTTTGGATGGTGTATTTCAGAACCACTATGCTTCATTTACGAAAATATTACCTCTCCCTGCCTAAACAAGCATGCCTGAAGGTGAATATATGACGGCCAGCAGAGAGGTGGAAAATGCGCAGCCAATAGGTATACGGACTGCCCCCGTGTCCCCTACCTCGTTTAAAAGGTTTTAAAAATTGGCATGAGCCTCAGCAGCAAGTGGACGCGGACCGCAATAGACTAAAAGACAACTGCATTATGGAGGTGTGGGATGCCAGTTTACACGCTTCAGTGTTTTAAAATGGCTAATAGAGAATAATAATAATAATAATAATAATAATAATAATAATAATAATAATAATATTTTATTTGGCTACAATTGGCTAATTGCCAGCTGGTAGCCACAACCGTACAGTTTTACAATATTATGAGCATTTATAGTTCAAAAACAATTTACATATAAAAAACAATTCTTTCGAGTATATAACTTCAATATATAAACATACACAGACCTGTATACATCTATGGTACATATATACACCCATACACACACACACATATATATATATATATATATATATATATATATATATAATATATATATATACTATATATATCAACCACACATCACCCCATTCTATACATGAATGCTCACTCTCTTAAGCGTTTGGACGCTTTCACACATGACTCACACACACTTGCCCTACATATTATACATGCCTACATTTAAATGAAGAACATATATTTAGTTACACCTAGTTACACAATACTGAGGGCTAGCGGCGTTAGACCAAGCCCATTGACGGAACGCGCAACATTGTATTGTAACAACGCGGATGTCGGGCAATCCTACATGGGCGATGATATGTCTAAGTTTCTTTAAATAAATGTAATGATCCAATAGCCATATCAAAGCTGCTCCTGCTGAGGCCACACACATGCCCGTGACGGTAGTCTAGGTTATCCTAGTCACGTCTGTCGTGTTGGCTGACGTGTCGGCCAACATGTAGCCTTCCTCAGAGTACTCTGAGGATGGCCACAACATGGCCGAAACGTCAGCGACCACGACAGAGATGCGGCTTGTAGACAATACAAACTCCGGGTGCGGAAGCCAACGCAATCATACTCAGGGCTTGTCGCCTGCTCGTGAAGCCTCGCAAGAACCAATACGCCGGGCAGAGAATGTGAACTCTTCGTCTATCTCAAGGGAAAACTGTTTCAGTACACCGAAAAAAAGAACCAGTTTTCTTGTTACAGTATCATGTATCTGGTATACTCCAACGGTTCTTTATTTCGGTGTAATAAAAAGCAGAATCCATCAATAAATATTTTAATGCCTGGAAAATAATGCGTTAAGATTTACAATGTATTTCGCTGGTAACTACAGATTTGCCGGGTGGCGACGGTATCTCCCAGCTCCACCTTCAATAAACTTCTGGCCACATGCCTTTTTGTGTAAATATTTCTATTCTTGTGCGTTATCAAGGATGGTATAGCGAGCGTACCGTGGAAACTCGTATCATTTAATTGGTGACAATACATATATAAATTCACAAACAAACTGTAAAAATAATTGTGTTTAAACGAGTTTGACATATTGCCAGATGTTCTAATGAACATTAACTTACGTTTAAATAAATATATTTAAAAATAAATAAAACAATAAATGTAAATTACAGTTTTAATGTAAAATGAGGGCCAATAAAACAATTTTTAAAAAAACTTTCTGTAATAAGTAATATTTTATACTTGTGGCACGAGGTTCACCAAATTCAACTGTACCCATCAGTTATTAGTAGTATCTCTTAGTGACACTGAAATATGAATATTGTGGCTGTGATTAGCCAGTCATTTTTGTGCGTACTCTAGCACGCACACATTCTGATAATAACATATTTCACCATATATTATCTAAATAAATATTCATTATGCATTTTAGTTGAATTCAAGAGGGTTAAATCCCAGTTTCTACTATAAAACTGCACATTTCTTAGAACAATAGCTGCACATTATTTGGTTGTTTCCTATAAATTGTTTGAATTATGTGGAGTTCAATAGAAATTGTTGGATAGGATTGTTATACAGCAATAGTTGGGCTTATTGTTTCTTCGTTGTCTCGGATATTTGTACCTACTTGAATTTTTGATATTGTTAAAATGAATGTGCGACAAACATCGGTTACATTTCCTTTGGTCTTTTACAGAGTCGTGGGATGAAAAAAACGCCTAGTTTTGCAATATTACGTTGGATAGTGCACTTTTAAAAGCATTATAATACTGAATATTGAGGAAAATATTCGAAGAAAAACACGGTGTAGACATCGCTTGCAGGTAATGTAGCGAACTTACCTTCGTGTACTTTAATATTTTTTCGTACGTTGTATTATTTAAATGTGTGCCCACATTTTATTTTGCTTTCATTAATAGTTCTGTTTGCTTGTATAGATTTCTCGGGATCGAGATGTTTACTTCAATGAGGAGTGCATCTACAAGACTCATGGGAGTAATCAAATGTTCCATTAATTCAAATGTTTCACACAACACAGGACTTAGGTGTTGTCTTGCAACATCCACTGAGGGATGTAAACCACCACCCACAAACCCCCCTGACCAAGCCGCCGCTAAGCCTCCTGATCAGGCAGCCGCCAACAACCCACCTAAACAGCCCGTCCAAAAGCCCCCTGAAGCAGGAAAGCAAGAAAGTGCTGCCGGTGCTCCGACACCAGTATCGGGAGATCCCGGAAGAATAGTCTCCGTAATTGGTGCTGTAGTGGATGTGCAGTTCATTGAAGGCAACCTACCACCCATCCTTAACGCTTTAGAAGTTCATAACCGAAAGCCGCGATTGGTTCTAGAAGTCGCACAGCATCTAGGGGAAAACACTGTTCGAACAATTGCCATGGACGGCACGGAAGGGCTAACGCGAGGTCAGCAAGTAATAGACACCGGATACCCCATTAGAATACCCGTTGGTAAGGAAACCCTTGGGAGAATTATGAATGTAATCGGAGAGCCCATAGATGAAAAAGGTCCTATCCCATCACAGAAATATGCCGCAATACACGCGGAAGCTCCAGAATTTATGCAAATGAACGTTTCCCAAGAAATCCTGGTTACTGGGATTAAAGTCGTCGATCTCCTGGCGCCGTACGCTAAGGGAGGGAAGATTGGATTATTCGGTGGCGCTGGTGTTGGGAAGACGGTTCTTATCATGGAACTCATCAACAACGTCGCTAAAGCTCACGGTGGTTACTCGGTGTTTGCTGGCGTGGGGGAGCGCACCCGCGAGGGAAACGACCTGTACCACGAAATGATCGAGTCCGGCGTCATCTCCCTCAAAGACCAGAGCTCCAAGGTTGCGCTAGTGTACGGGCAGATGAACGAACCTCCAGGAGCGCGCGCGCGGGTGGCGCTGACCGGCCTCACAGTGGCCGAGTACTTCCGCGACATGGAGGGTCAGGACGTCCTCTTGTTCATCGATAACATCTTCAGGTTCACTCAGGCCGGATCGGAGGTGTCCGCGTTGCTGGGCCGCATTCCTTCCGCGGTGGGATACCAGCCGACGCTGGCCACCGACATGGGAAGCATGCAGGAACGAATCACCACCACGACCAAGGGATCCATCACGTCGGTGCAGGCAATTTACGTGCCAGCCGACGACTTGACAGACCCGGCCCCTGCAACCACGTTCGCTCACCTAGACGCCACTACCGTGCTGTCAAGAGCAATCGCTGAACTTGGAATTTACCCAGCTGTAGATCCTTTAGATTCCACGTCGCGTATTATGGATCCCAATATCATAGGAGAAGAGCATTATCTCATAGCCAGAAACGTGCAAAAAATTCTGCAAGATTACAAGTCTCTGCAAGATATCATCGCCATTTTGGGCATGGATGAACTCTCCGAAGAAGATAAACTCACTGTTGCACGTGCGCGCAAAATACAAAGGTTTTTGTCCCAACCTTTCCAGGTAGCCGAAGTGTTTACCGGTCACCCAGGAAAGCTTGTCAAACTACAAGACACAATTAAGGGATTTCAGGAAATTCTTAAAGGTGGGTATGATCACTTGCCTGAAGTAGCATTTTATATGGTGGGAGCTGTTGATGAAGTGGTTCAAAAAGCTAAGAAACTGGCAGCTGAGGCTAAAGCAGAATAAAAGTATTACAAGACTAAATACTTTGTAATAGATCGATGAAGTACGTTTCCGATAGATATCGCACAGAATTAGTTAAAAATGAAATGTGTATGTGAGTTAATTTGAATGATGAATGAATTTAATCTTTATAACAATTTCTAATTATCATTTAACAACAAATGATAAACATTTGAAAAAATGTGTTTTTTATTAGCTCTAACAAGAGAATATTTATAATTCTTCCAAGTGACTCAATTTAACTCACTTCCTCATCAGACATGTTTAGTATGATCGCAAAGGCTAACAAAATGTATTACGATTTCAGCATGAATTTCTTAATGAAATAAATTCATTTCCTTATCTTTATGTTTCTTTTATTTTCCTGTAATTGGGACTGAGTTTTGCAAAATACCTTAGTATGGGTTGGTGAGATGTAAACGGGTAAGATTTGAAAAGATATGGCTCTGGGACATCGAAAGGAAAACGCACACTATAATCTTGCTTGACCGGGATTCGAACCCTGTGTCGCGTCATGAAAAGCGCGCTGACTAATGAGCTAAACCACGAGTGCTTGTTAACTAAATAGCAAGCATAAACACTTCAAAAGGCACGCACGGGCATAATGAGTCCAAAAGCACCGCAAGGATAATAAGTATACTATGATGAGTTTGCTTTCATGACTATAAACACAATAATGAACTCGATTCACCATAGAAAAGTAAGCGAAGAGTCAATGTAGTTGTCCAGGGAGGAAATGGCGCGGTTTGTGGAACCGCCATAGTCATATTAGCATGTGTTCCAGTGAATACAAAGTGACTGAAATCTGTGCAGTTCCATTTTAATACAACTTCTTTGTACATTTACAACCAGATATTAACATAAATATTACGTAAAAAAACTTCATGACTCTTGTAACCAGGAGATTTTACTTTAACTCTTATACATAGCAGAATTAAATGCGGTGCTTACATGTAGAATGTGTTTTCTCGAGTCGATATATATCTTCACCGGTGTACCGGGAATTTAAGATTGTTTAATCGTATTTGGTATCGTGTGCTGTTAGTGGTGGTTATTTTGTAATGGGTAAGTATGGATAGATCCTTAGACAATGGCACAGCACCGTCCTTCCCTATGTGTTTACTCCACTTGCTACGATAGCTTCGACACGCCACGCAAACTGGCTCGATTGAGAAGCAAAGAAGCAGCCCTCCGAAGGTAGTGGGGCAATTCCTAGTGCCCGCGGACAGTGGCGAGCGGCGCGCCGCCTCCAACGTCTCGAGCGAGTCTCCACCCCCTCTGCTCACGACGTCCCGCGGGGGATCGATCCAGACAGCGTCGGTCCGCCCCGCCCGACGGAGGGCGGGGGCGTGGCGGGGACCGATAGCGCCGGCCACTGTGAGCACAGGCTGTGTACACACGCGCCCAAACCTCGCTGCCCGTCCCCTGCCGTCCTCCGCAGGCCCGCGGACGGAGAGGAGGCCGCGGAGACGTCATGCCCGCGACCCCGCACAATGTGTCCATGACATGGGAGATATGGCAACGGCATTTTCGGTTAATGACAGCGGCGAAGAGTCAGAATAATGCAATGACGGAACAAAAAATATATACGATATGATATCGACGGTAACAAAAAGAGAATTATTAGGATTTTTGCAACCTGATAACCGAACACTATTGTTTTCATTGATGGTTCAACAAAAAGTCTCAGGGTTGTTTTTCAAATAATTCATATCTAGTACCATAAATATTACATTAATTTAAATCATATCGAGAAATTTGATGCGTAAACATTCAAAGAACATGACTTACAATAAATTCAATATTTTATAGTGAAATATAATCCTTAATGATGGGCTAAATGTATCTCTGAATATTGGTTTACACAAAACAACTCAGATTAATTCACTAATTCGATGGCACCGTCAGATGTCAAGGGAGTTCTATAGAAATAGCTGTCACGGCAAGTATGTGTGCAATATCGTAGAGGAACTCAGAGAACGTTTTGTCTCTTTAAATAAGATTCTAATGAAAACGCAATAGCGAAAACATACTAAGGTTATCAGCATAAACTGAAATGTCATTGAATTAATTTTATTTTCCATATGTTCATGAGATCATTCAAGCAAGGCTAAGGAAGGAATACATCGAGCCATGCAACTTACCATTTCAAAGAAACGCATTATAACGTAGCCACTAGAAATATATTAGAACATACGAATAATTAACAGACTGAACAAAATGAAATATAAAATCGGAATATGGAGGAATTGACCCATAATCAGATCTGCTATTTTGTCGTGTCCTTAATATATTGAAAATCAGTTATAAAATATCACACTGTGATCGTAGGGAAAAGCACATACGAGTACTAATGTTGTTCTGTCAAAGCTATAACTTAATACACTCTCATTTATTTCGTAAAAATAGTCATTCTGTATTTTGGTTTCTGTATTTATATTGTAACTATAAGTTTTGTTGTATTTCTCGGCATGTACAAAAATATTTTAGGTTGTCTAAGATGATTTTAATTTAGTTGTCAAGTTCTCAAATTGAATGACAAGTTAATATTGAGCTTTGAGATTTTTAAAGAAATGATTTTAAACAAAAAACGAACCCGGTTAACATGTCAGAGCAACCTCTTTGCTTATGCGAATCGCCACAATAATCGTTACAGACGTTTGAACGTTTCCTATAAAAATTTATCAGGAGTCTCGGTGGCTTAGTGATAGAGCAGACTTGATTTTCTTGTAGGTCCGAATCCAGATGCAGGTCGGGATTTTTATCTGGCGATGTCCATTCAGGACGGCCCGGGTTGAGTCAACTTCCTTTCCAAGAAATTTCCTGGGTAAATGCATCCAGAGCGTTGTGGTCGCCACAAACCCCCTTGTGCCGACGGCGACGAATAGGTTGAACACTAGTACCTTCCCCTTGGCCACATCGACCTACGTGCAATTGCACGGAAAAAATATATATTGGTATTGCGAGTTTTCAAAATACACATGCTATTATAAGAAACCACTAACATGTATGGTTGACTCTAATACTACATCATCAATTTTACTCATTAAATCACTGATGATCTTGGTTTATACTAGAAGACGGTTTCAGTTGTTTACTCATTTTGAAACGTAATATAACCATTTTAAATATTACAAAAGTAATTTCACTTTATTATTAGAAAAATATGTTCTGATGCACTTCCTGCATATCAAATTTCAGCATTTTTCTATTCACTGTTTCTTTAATACAACTAACAGTTCCTAAAATATATTAAATAATAATTATTAAACTTAATATATAAACAAGTTAACCACACATGTGCTACGAGAATTATACAACCAATTGTAGTTTCTATAAACTTGTAGGAATTCTGAGAAATTGCAATTAATTGTTTTAAAATTGGTTTAAATTAAAATTTAAATTTAGAAAATTAAACTTGACGTACATGAAGTACGTACTTTAGTAGCTGTTCAAGAATTCTATGGTTTGGCAATTTAAAATCTTTGTATTAATATTTTTATATTTACTTCGTAATTAATAACAAAATTTGTAGGTGACAACTTATTTCGGTGAATTTTTTCTAATCAAAAGTGCTGTTCGTATTCAAGTCTTCTACATTCATCTATAGCACAAAACAGCCTTCCCACATATACCATCTTTTACTGTTTCGCCAACTACTTGCGTAGTATAAAGAAAGTATTGCTATACTGTGGCAAAACATGGCAATTTTCGGTAGAAAAATTTATTGAGACTCTAATACCGAAAAAGTAGGTAAATTTCGTTTCTATATGTAGACGATTAAATTTTCTAACACGTTGGGAATTCATAACCCCTGATTTCTTGATCTTTGTTATCGAAAAGTTGGCTGAGAGCAAAATGTTTGTCTGTCAATAAGTAGGCAACGCTAAAGCCTAAACCGTACAGATCATTCTCTCTAAAATTAATATTCCAATTGATGTAATCATTACTAAAGTGAGAACGTACGTGCGGTTGTAGCACCACTAGTTTCAAAGCGAGGTAATTTGGCACATGCCGATCCTTAAATATCCGTCAATCAGCTCGCAGATGTTCATCGGCAATCGTGACAACTCCGTCCTAGCAGCTCGCGCAGGCGGCCGAAATCCGCGCGGCGCCCGCCGGCCGCTCTCCGGCGCTAACACGACTCCGCCCCCTCAATTCCCACCCCCGCCTTCGCTGCCACCCCTCTCTACCGCCCGTTCGCAACCGCTGCGGCCAACTGCGTCGACGCCTTAGCCACCACCATCACCGCCGCTTCCACGATCGCCACCGCAATCGTCACTGCCCCGGCCTTCACCACCGCCACCGCATTTCTATCGTCACCACCTTGTTCACCGCTACCATCGCCGCCTTCTCTTCCTCCAAAGTACTAGAACCATTACAACCACTGCCACTAGCGCTGGGCTGCTATCGCCAACGCCACTTCCCCAATCCTCACTACCGCCCCCGCGCCTTTGGATTTCCTCGCCTCACTGCAGCCTCTCTACCATCACAGTCACCGCTCCGCCCTAAGCGTCGACCGCACCGTCACCACCCCTCCCGTTACAAGCGCCGCCACCGCGTCTGCCCTAGTCTTCATTTCCGCCACCAGCACCGCTCCACACACAACCGACGTCGTCTTTGCCCATCGCCGCTGCCTCGCCACCATCACAGTCGCCGCTCACCGTCTCCGCCCCGCCCCCTCCTGGTCACCGTCACTAACTCGGCCATCGCCGCCACCAATGTCCACGTTCATGGAGAGCCCTCCTCGCGTCCGTTTGACAGTCTTGACGTAATTAGCAGGGCGGCTGCGATGGGCAAACGGACGGCGCCAAAGCCGCTAATCGCTTATGTCAAATCATAGGCTCCGCCTTGCCCGATCCAGCGCCGGCTCCGCGTCAGCCAACGCCTATTCGGCGGCGGCGCTGAACTACGCCGAGCGGGATTCCCCTCCCCCCCGCACTCCCACGCGCGCCGCGCCGCTTCATTGCTCTCCCCCACTTGAAGGGCCGCGGAGCTTTGGA